CTTCTGCAATGAGTGCTTCAAGCTCTTCCACCCCTGGGGCACCCAGAAGGCCCAGCATGAGCCCACCCTGCCCACCCTCTCCTTCCGCCCCAAGGTGAGCCAGCCCTTGCAGGGTCTGGGAAGGGAGGGGCATGGTGGTGCCAAAGTGTGTGGGGATGGCACTGTGGAGCTCTAAAAGGAGGAAGGCAGAAGTTGCCACTGCCAAGATCCATATTCTGTAACAAAGTCACTGGGCAAATTTGGCATTTCTGAGCCTCCTTCTCATCTGCTGCACAGGGACAGTAGTATCTGCATACCTGCAGGATTGTTGATGGGATCACAGGAGATAATGTTTGTTCACTGAAAAGCTTTATCTATACACTAAGAAGGTTTGTATGCCTTTACTCATTGAACAAACAGTTACTGGCCCTCTTCTAGGTGGTGGGAGCACAGCAGTGAAAAAGATGGACAAGGTTAATTATGAACCATAAAGCTTGATTAATTATCATCCTTGTTATTACACACATTCCTGCCAGGTAGATGGAAGGAGGAGCAATGCTGGTGAAATGGGCATTGCCTGGAGGCTGAAGAGAAGAGTTTGATACCAATGTGTACCACTGGGTGACACTGTGGAAGCTCACAAACTGATTTCCTGGTCATTGAAAACCGACCCTTGAAGGGAGGGCACCAAACTGCTCCTGGGAATAGGTCAGCACTCTAGCTGACTGTCTCACTGTGCTTTGGGTCCCTAGGGCCTGATGTGCCCAGACCACAAGGAAGAGGTGACTCACTACTGCAAGACGTGTCAACGGCTGGTATGCCAACTCTGCCGGGTGCGGCGCACCCACAGCGGGCACAAGATCACACCAGTGCTCAGCGCCTACCAGGCACTCAAGGTGAGGACCTTCCTCCTTGGCCCCAGCACCAGCTCCCACTCACTCCTCACACTCTTCCTGTGAACTGCTGGCATCTGCAGAGCCAAGCATGATCCCCACTGCTTTCTTCCCCCTCAGGACAAGCTGACAAAGAGCTTGACATACATCCTGGGAAACCAGGACACGGTACAGACCCAGATCTGTGAGCTGGAGGAGACCGTCCGGCACACAGAGGTGAGGGAGGGCAAGGAGGTGGGCCCTGGGCCCTGCCTGGGATGGGGGCAGGAAGGGCACATGACAGATGTGCCCATGGTGCCTGCACAGGAAGCCTGTGAAGGTGCACATGTGTGGAGGTGGGAGTTCTTGGTTGGCAGGAGCAGCAATGCCTGGGGCTGCATGCAGCATAGCACAGGAAGAGGACTCAAGTGCCCACAGGCTCGGTTCCTTCCCAGAGTTAGTGCACATCCCTGGACCTAGGATAGGTGAGAACTCACGTGTCTTCCACCAGATTAGATCAGACACCTTGGGGACAGACAAAAAGGATGCATGACATGGGAGATACCTCAGTGGAATAAGTGCTTGCCTGGCAAGTGCACGGTCCTGAGTTTGATCCCTGGTACCACCAAAAAAATAAAAAATAAAAGAAAGGATGCATGACAGCCAGTGGACAGTAGCTAGCCCCATCCAAGGGGACATTAGTACAATGGTGGCCCCTATTATTTGGGTGTGTCCTTCAGGGTGAGGAATATGAAGGAGTTATGGCAAAATATGACAAATCGTTGTAATGCTTATTTCTGACTGGAATCACTTGAAGTACTGTAACTTCAGGAAGGACATTTTGATCTGTCTCTTCCCATACGCAGCGAGGCAGAAAGATTCTTTCCAGAGAGATATCCTTCACATACCTAGGCCCTGTAATCAGGGTTGCAACAGGAACCTGAATAAACAAACTCTGAAGGAATTCTTGTTTTCCACACCTCCCCCGCTATCTCCTAGCAACATCTGTAGAATTTATGACTGTAGTCCAGATATCCCCTACCCTGTCATTCCTTCACAGAGGCATTGTTCTGGGGCAAGGTGCGTGGCTCAGTGGTAGAGCAGAGCAAGGCCCTGGGTTTTATCCCCAGCAAACCCCTCCCCACAAAAAGCAAATAGGTTATTCTTTGTCTCAGAAGTTTAAAAGCATCATTCTTTGGTTGGTTGGTTGGTTGGTTGGTTGGTTGGTTGGTTGGTTTTGGTTTTCGGTTTTACAGAGACAGGGTCTCACTGTGAAATTTAGACTGTCCTTGAATTCACTATGTAGCCCAGGCTGGCCATGAGCTGCCTCAGCCTCCCCAGTTCTAAGAGCATAGGCCTGTGCCACCACACTTGGCAAAGCATCATTCTTTGGATATTTTATTTGGACTTCACTCTCTTGTAAAAATCCTCATATACATGTAAAATTAATTTTTAAAATTAGGCTTTTTTCTGTATTGTAGATCTACTAAAAAAGGGGGAAGTGGGAGGGGTCTCTGTCCCTACAGTTATGATATGAGCATCCAGGAAGGTTAGAACAAATGAAATGATTGGTCAGGAGCTGAGAGCATCTGGGGTACTGGTGGCTTGGCCCTTTTGAAAGGCTTAGTAGGATTTCCCCAGATCCTCTGTGATCCTGGCTGGGGTATGGTAGCCCAGGAGGTCCCCCTCCAAGAGAAAGAGAGTAAGCTGTGCATCCTTTGGGTGTTACTCCCGAGCAGGTGAGCGGTCAGCAAGCGAAGGAGGAGGTGTCACAGCTGGTGCGGGGGCTGGGGGCTGTGCTGGAAGAGAAGCGGGCTTCATTGCTTCAGGCC